ACCCTCCTTTGAGCAAAGGTACAACACCCTCCTTTGACCAAAGGTCCAACATCCTCCTTTGACCAAAGGTCCAACATCCTCGTTTGACCAAAGGTACAACACCCCCCCTTGACCAAAGTGTGAGGATTGAGCCCTCAAGAAGGGGCCTTGCCATGATGTACATGTTCTGGGCTAAGGCCCCAACAAGCCTAATGCCCGCCCTAAGTGAAGGCGGGCCAGCAAATCAACAAGAGCCCTCTTAGCAAACATTTCCCGAAGTGGGGTCCATACAGTTGCAGCACGCCAGTTGGTTGGAGTGCACCGAGTCTCGAATCTCTGCAAACATGGACATCCCAGGACCTCTGAGTTAGTTAGGCCCTGGGCACTCGAATGTGAGCCTGACAATGCATGTTGGGTATAGAGGCCAAAAATGCCAAAGGGAAATCGGCCCACTATCTGAATCTGGCCGCATGCCTTGATGAAAGAGGCGCAACTGCATTGCCCCGGGCCTCAACTGTATCGGGCTGGGTTCAGCCAATGGGGCCCAGTCGCAGGCTGAAGGGAGGCCGCCCACACGCAACACTGACATATAGGCAAGAAGGGCGAGTGGGCAGGGATTCTTGGCCAATGCAGGCATTGCGGGCACACTGCGCGATTGCGAGGTGCTGCGCTGTGCAGAGCTGCGCTGCGCTGGGATGAGGCAGGCTAGCACTAGGCGGTAGGGCGCTGCCTGTGCACTGGGCGCTTGGCGGCCATAGCCGGGCTGCATAAGGGCACAGGGGAAGTGAGGGCGAAGGTGGTTCTTCAGAGGTGAAGGGCGCTGTGTGGGTAACAAGGGAGAGTGGGTGAAGAGGACACGTACCTAGTGGAGGTGGAGGTCGGCATTGGTGTTGACATCATCACTCGCTGGTAGTCAAGTTGTCTAGTTGCTTTCATTGCTGTAGTTGTAGGCTTCGTCAGTAGAGTAGATAGGGCGCATGGCGCCATTCATAAGAGAGAGCTACATTGGGTTATGCTGTTGGTGTTGCCCTATAGGGCATGGACATTGACTCACGATTCTTCTGTATCATTCTCAATTGGATGGTTACTCGGTTTCATTGTGCTATCTACTCTGGCTTTGACTACTTGGACTTCAGTGTGATTTTGCATTCTGGATTTCTGTGCTTCGTCCATATTCATGTTCCTTGCAATTTGGTATCAGAGCTGGTTTGATTCACCACTTACCTCTGGCACGCTGGCGCTATACAGGCTTGGTGCGTTGACGATGCTTCTTCGCAGTTCGTACTTGTGACGTCAGACCATATATAGGCGCACGCCCTGGGTAGAGAGGGGTGCGCCGGAAGGCTAAGACGGCAGTGTATGCCGTGGTGACATGCGGAATGTATGATTGGTGATGAGAGCATGCTGATGTGGCATTCGACTGAGGTGGCACTGCATTGCGTTGTGGGTGGTACCGAGGCCAACACCGGTCATCAAATGCACACTCAGCTCAATTGGTGAGATATCTGTGGTTTGGGGCAGTATCTCCAAGTACGTTGTTCCCTTACCTTGTCTACTCTCTCAATCTCTTCTTGCCGTGAGGAAGTGAGTCCAGCTTGAGAGTCCTCTCTTTTGGTGAGGTATCGTGAGCGCGCTACCTTGAGAGACGACAATCTTCCTGGAAACATCTGGAAGGAGAAAGGGCGGTGCCTCTGAAGGGCCCTGGTCGAAGCACTGGGTCACGGTCACCATGCCAACCCAATGGGAGTAGGTCACGCATGCGATGGCTGCTGTCCATTTTGGCAATCGCTGCGCTAAATAGAAGTCATGTCGGGTGTGCCATCCCATGACAGACGCTTACCAGACCGTCTATAAACATTTCTGGTTGGGAGTTCATTGTGAATCTGGCTGTGATCGTCGTCCTGACTGCGACGGTAAAGAATTTTTGAAGAGATAGGGGCGCTCTATAAACTCCTCCTCATCAGCCAGATCACATGGACAGGAAGGCTCGTCGTCGTACGAGCGTAAATAAGAGTGGTTGGGTTGGCTTGCTCGGTAACGACTTGGGCACAGGGATGGGCCGAAATACACACGAAGACACTGCCTGCTCAATGATATTGTTCGATATGTTGGATTGAGGGGAGGGTAGGTTCTAATTGGTGCTCAACTGAATACACAACCATACCCACTCATCATACATCTGCAACATGTTTTTTTTGTATTTTGATTAGTTGGAAGACAGACTGCTAACACCTCACAGACATAATTAGATTAGGACTGTTGTATGCTACCATAGCCAGTTCTCTCTAAAGATGTTGTAAGTGAACCAATCACAGTACATCTAAACTATGTAGACAATCTCTTGTGAATGTTATAGACATGCCACTTGATCGCTACAGTAGGGGACCTGCTGAACACAACTATTTTTAGAAAATAAGGTGCCGGTCAGACACATGTTGTGGTAGGACTTCACTAGGGGGTTCTAGTGCAGACAATGTTTGCCTAATTCATGAACGGGTCAGACGTCGATGAGGAGAGAGTTGACGATGTTAGACTAACACGTGCAAGGTCACGTAGGATCCCGCACGTGTTACAGGCCCTACAACCGGAAGACGAAAAATGCATTCGTGCCAAACGCAAAGCCCGTACTCTCGCGGCATCGAGAGAGGCAGCAAACGTTGCAGCTAGGGAACAGGTTGCGGCAACAGCCAGGGCAACAGCCATGTCTTCTGCAGCAGCATCCTCCACTGCATCTTCTGTTGTCTCCTCGTCTGGACCCCAGTTGGGAATGCCAACAGGATCCGCGGGCACTTCCAATTCAGTAGGATCACGTCAGTCTACAACTCAAATGGCGGGCTCGCAGTTCAGCCCGTTGACTCCTCGCGAAAGGGAGCTCAGGGAGCTGCAACAACTCGAAGGGATCCGTGAAAGATTAGAGAGGGAACTGAAACAAGCTACCAACAGAGAAAGGGAAATCAAAAATAGAACAACCAGGCTTGATACATTAGTGGCTGACAAAGCTGAGTTAGAGGGTTTGGATGACTCTGGAATGAATGAGCCCATGAAAAAGTTGAGGAACAACATGTTGTCGCTGCATGCGCACGCGGACAGCAGGTTGGTCTTCATGCAGAACACTTTCGACCAGATCCTAGACGTTCTGACCACGCCAGGATTTAGGTCACCAGCACAGTCGCCGTTGCCGTTAACGGCGATGTCAGGCCCCTTTCCCATACAAGTTGGCACACAGCCAAGTGGTACGTCTGCAGCAGCCGCACAGACTGTTGCATCTTCTTCTTCGGGCCCATTGGTGGGAGCTCCACCACCGCAACAGCCTGTTCAGCAATTTGGACAGTCGTAGGTTCAATGGTATCCTAAGACCCCAATGAAACCGCCTCTTACCTTCTTTGGCGAGAGAAAGGACGAAGAGTTCAACACTTGGTTGAGGACAATCCCGGTTTGGGTGAAGGCGAAGAGGACCTTGCTGGAGGACGAAGTGGTTACCGCTGCATCTTACCTCGAGGGTAAGGCAACCAAATGGCTAGATGGTGTAGCTGTAAAGGCTGGGTACGGGCGACACATGGCGGACAGGGCTAAGTCTTTAACGTTAAACCAATTCATGGAGATGGTAGAAGCTCGATGGCATAATCCACAGGAGGCACAAAGAGCCACTGATGCGATTAACAAGTGAGACAAATATTCAAGTCGGTTAGAGAGCTTACGACTACCGTTGAGAGCCTGATCCTCGTTCCAGGCATCAACTACAGTGACCAGTTCCTGTTAACTACGTTTGTTAGATGTCTTCCAGAGAACATCAGGAACTTGCTGGCCAGTGAGGCACGCGTCTAATACCATTCGTTTGAGACATTGTCTAGGAAAGCCTTAGATTTGGAGGCCACTCTAGGCAATGTTCAACCCTCTCAAATGTTCAACCCTCTCAAAGTCACACGAAGAAGAAGAAGAGTCCTCAGGAGTGGAAGAAGAAGGGGGCGAAGTTGATGATGGTTGAGTCCGATGGGACTCAAACGAAAATCGATGAGCTCACTGACCTGATGGACTACTCAGAGTACGACGGCGAGGAGACCGCTGAAGGTAGCACCCTCGCTGCAGTTGTAAAGGCTAAGGCAGATGGCCGAGGGAAGGGCCATTCAAGGAGTCAAGGGAAGACCGCCTCCAATCAGACCAGGCAGGCTGATTGGGTGAAGGCAGGTCTTGATCAAGACGTGTGGCGTGACCGCCGAGTGCGTGGCGCTTGTATCAACTACGGGGAATACGGTCACTCGCAGTACAAGTGTCAGAACGTGAAGGTTGCGCAAAAGATGCCTCCAAAGATGGGGGCATCTTATTCCCAGGCTTCTAGCTCGGGAAACGCGTGAGGCCAGTGGAAGTTTTAGCTGCTTCTACTCTTGCTGAAGTGGGTCAGATACCCTCCCCACTTCACGAGAAGGCCAAAGCTAATGACTCCTTAGTCACCCCACAGACTCATCTAGACCAAACTATGCTTTGTACGTTAGATGTGTCTGATGCCTTAGAAGACTTGGAGAGTGAGTGGTCAAACAAGGACCCTCGCGAGTCTTGGGTGGCGCTAAGGAAAGGTTCTAGACGGGAACATTTCGTGGTGGAAGTCGATGTAGGAGACCACAAATATGGTGCCTTCATAGACATAGGCTCCACACGGAATTACATAAGTTGCGGCTGTATGGAAAGGCTGCACCTACAGGACCGAGTACGGCACCTTAGTAGACCTGTAGCATCTACTTTGGCCAACAAGGAGCGCATGATAGTAACAGACTATATCAAGGACGTAGTCTGTACCTTCTCCTATAGAGGAGGTGAACTTAATCATAAGATTTCGTTTTTGGTTAGCGACGACTTACCATTCGATATGTTGTTAGGCATGTACTACCTCGAAATTGCTAAGCCCCAATTTGACTAGGATAAGAAGGTGCTCAAGCATAAGTTGTCCTATGGTCGAACTGTCAGATTGACTAAGTTCAAGGTAAGCAACATTATAGATACCTATGACTGCTTGTGCGCATCAGCGTTCTACAATTACTATAAGCAAAACCAAGAGGAGGGTATGTACCTTGTGTATGTCTCTGAGAAAGGGGAGGCCGTTAAAACACCCCCAAAGATAGAACGCGTCGTTGCTAAGTTCCCTGATCTGTTCGAAGAGCCCACACGAATTGTTGAAAGGGAAGTTGTCCATGCTACAAAAATCATTCCAGGGAGTAAGACCCCAAAGGGAAGGATCTAATGGATGGCTCCCGCCGAGTTAGATGAACTTCGGTCACAACTTAAGGAGTTGACAGAGAAAGGATGGATTCAGCCTAGTACTTCCCCTTACGGATCACCCGTTTTATTCGTACCGAAGAACGGGGGTACTTTGAGGATGTGCATTGACTATAGAGGCCTCAATGTCATCACAGTGAAGAACGCAAAGCCTCTACCTCGCATAGACGACCTATTGGATAGAGTGCAGGGATGCAAGTACTATAGTAAGATAGACTTGAAATCCGGATATCATCAAATCGCAATAAGACCTGAGGATCAACACAAGACAGTCTTTCAGACCAGACACGGTCTAAATGAGTTTGTAGTGATGCCCTTTGGTCTTTGCAATGCGCCGGGTACATTCCAGCACGCTATGAATCGGATCTTCTATGACCATTTAGATAAGTTTGTCGTGGTATACCTTGACGACATTCTGATCTTTAGCAAGTCTGCCGAGGAGCATGCAAACACGTTGAGACTGTACTCTCATTCCTGCGACAGCACAAGTATAAGGTCAACTTAGAGAAGTGTGAGTTCGGTCGCACTAAGATACTATACTTGGGTCATGAAGTATCCGCGGAAGGGATTAGGCCAGAGGATGCGAAGGTGGCTAGCATTCGAGACTGGCCACGACCTCAGACTGTCACTGAGGTCATAACTTTCTTAGGAATGTGCGGCTACTATAGGAACTTCGTCAATAACTATTCTACAGTCGCCTCTCCTTTGACTGATCTAACTCGACTTGACATGCCATGAGACTAGAGTGATGAGTGCGAGGGTGCTTTTAAGAGATTGAAGCATGCACTCATGAATCACGAGGTTCTCATGGTTCCCGATCCTCATAAGTCATTCATAGTGACCACTTACGCAAGCCAATACGGCATTGGCGCAGTGCTGGCTCAACAGGATAGGAAAAAATTAAGACCGATTGAGTATATGAGCAAGAAGATGCCATCGAAGAAGTTGGCAAAGTCCACCTACGAAAGAGAACTCTATGCTCTATACAAAGCACTTGGCCATTGGAGACACTTCCTATTGGGAAGGTTCTTCTACCTGAGGACTGATCATCAGACCCTCAAATCAAGACTCAACCGGCTCTTTCTGACGCACTCAAGCGATGGATTGAGGTCATAGACCAATATGACTTCAAGCTTGAGTATCTGCAGGGAGAGTATAACAAGGTTGTTGATGCGCTATCACGTAGAGCAGACTACCTAGGTGCGCTAGTTTCTGACTTTGATGTATCTGAAGAAGTACCTCAATCATTGTTGGGAGCCTATCAGGAAGACCCTGTCACGATGGTCATCATGCGCAAACTTCAGGCTAAAGACAAGGCCACAGAAAGTGAGTTTGTGATAGTGGACGGGTTACTCTATCTTGATAAGGCCGGAATAAAAAGATTAGTAGTTCCATCTACTGAACCTTTGCGTAGTTTGTTCTTAGGAGAATGCCATGCCGCAACGGGACACTTCGGCTACAAGAAGACGAATGCTAACCTAGTACAACGATTTTGGTGGTCAGGAATGTTAGATGACGCAAAGAAGTACGTAGAGACCTGTCAGGTCTGTCACCGGGACAAGCCACGAACTCGAGCATTGCTTGGGTTGTTGAAGCCTTTGCCTATTCCTGCTGGTCCAGGACCATGGATTTCACGGACACCCTGGTGACAAGTAAGAGTGGCAAGAGGCACATCTTCGTCATCATCGATCAATTCACCAAGTACGCTAGACTAGTGGCTATGCCAGAGACCGCAAGAAATGACTATGTCATCAAGTTGTTCAAAGATAACTGGGTGCGTGACTTTGGTTTAACAAAGTCAATCGTTAGTGACCGAGATGTCCGATTCACAAGTGAGTTGTGGAAAAAGACTGTAGAACAGATGGATAGTCAACTTCAGATGACTTCAGGGAATCATCCCGAAGCCAACGGACAAGCCGAGCAAATGAACAGAGTTGTACAGCACTTGCTGATGCATTACATCAAGCCCAGCCAGGATGACTGCGATGAGCAATTGCCTCTCATCGCCAACCTATACAACAATGTTATCCACAGCAGTACCGACGTTAGTCCTAATCAACTTCATTTGGGATGGAAGCCTAGATCAGCATTAGACTTCCTCCTACCTGAAAACCGACCTGCTGCAACTCCAGGAACACTTGAGTATGGTGTGCAGTATGAGAAGTTGCTGCAAGAAGCTGTCGAGCACATGAAGAAAGCTCAGCAAGCAATGATTGCTTCTGAGAATCAACACTGTAGACAGTCCACATTTCAGGTAGGGGAACGTGTCTGGGTCAAGGCTAGTAAGTTAGGACAGGAATTCGGATTCTCTCGCAAACTAATGGCTCAGTACTTTGGTCCCTGGGAAGTCCTGGATATAGTGGGAGATGAGATGGATGGCCCCACATATATCATTCGTGTCCCTGGACACCTACGCACTCACCCAGTCTTTCATGCCTCAAAGCTTGCACCTTTCGCTGAGCCAGATCAATTCCCTTCAAGGAGATCGATGCTGCCCCCAACCATGGATGGTCAAGTGGACATCGACGACATTGTGGATTACAAGGATATGCCTGTTCCGAAGCCGCTGGGACGAGGAAGACCTCCTAAACCCAAGAGAGAGTATCGTGTCAGATTCAGGCATCATACGGATCCAAAAGAAGATCGGTGGTTTACCAAAGAGGAACTGATTGAGACAGCTCCTCAAGTGGTGGCAGAATATGAGAGACTGCTGAAAGGGAAGGCACCAGTGAATTAAGCATCTCAGCGAACTTTCGAAGCTAAGGGGGATGGAATGTGAGGATTGAGCCCTCAAGAAGGGGCCTTGCCATGATGTACATGTTTGGGGCTAAGGCCCCAACAAGCCTAATGGCCGCCCTAAGTGAAGGCGGGCCAGCAAATCAACAAGAGCCCTTTTAGCAAACATTTCCTGAAGTGGGGTCCATATAGTTGCAACACGCCAGTTGGTTGGAGTGCACCGAGTCTCGAATATCTGCAAATGTGGACATCCCTGGGCCTCTGAGTTAGTTAGGCCCTGGGCACTCGAATGTGAGGCCGACAATGCATGCTGGGTATAGAGGCCGAAAATGCCAAAGGGAAATCGGCCCACTATCTGAATCTGGCCGCAGGGCTTGATGAAAGAGGCGCAACTGCATTGCCCCGAGCCTCAACTGTATCGGGCTGGGTTCAGCCACTGGGGCCCAGTCCCAGGCTGAAGGGAGGCCGCCCACACGCTGCACTGGCATATAGGCAAGCAGGGCGAGTGGGCAGGGATTCTTGGCCAATGCATTGAATGCAGGCATTGCAGGCACGCTGCGCGAATGCGAGGTGCTGCGCTTTGCAGAGCTGCGCTGCGCTGGGATGAGGCAGGCTAGCGCTAGGCGGTAGGGCGCTGCCTGTGCACTGGGCGCTTGGCGGCCATAGCCGGGCTGCATAAGGGCGCAGGGGAGGTGAGGGCGAAGGTGGTTCTTCGGAGGTGAAGGGCGCTGTGTGGGTAACAAGGGAGAGTGGGTGAAGAGGACACGTACCTAGTGGAGGTGGAGGTCGGCATTCATGTTGACATCATCACTCGTGGGTAGTCAAGTTGTCTAGTTGCTTTCATTGTTGTAGTTGTAGGCTTAGTCTGTAGAGTAGATAGGGTGCCTGGCGCCATTCATAAGAGAGGTACATTGGGTTATGCTGTTGGTGTTGCCCTGTAGGGCATGGACATTGACTCACGATTCTTCTGTATCATTCTCAATTGGATGGTTACTCGGTTCCATTGTGCTATCTGCTCTGGCTTTGACTACTTGGACTTCAGTGTGATTTTGCATTCTGGATTTCTGTGCTTCGTCCATATTCATGTTCCTTGCAAAAGGTACAACACCCTCCTTTGACCAAAGGTACAACACCCTCCTTTGACCAAAGGTACAGCACCCTCCAGCAATCCGCCGTGTCGGAAGGCCAACCAACATGAAAGCCTGATCCACAAACAAAAGACCATATTTTCAACTGGCACCTTTTCCCAAACACAAAGAGCAAAAAAAAAAAAAAAAAAAAGACAAAAAGGGAAAACAAAGGGCCTCGCTCCGCTATACAACACTCTACATGCAGTTGGACGATTGTCAGACCAGTTGCATTCGGACGAGTTCAATCAACATTTTGAACATACCTGATCCTAAAAACGTCCAAATGCATGTAGCGCGTTGTGTAGTGTTGCGAGGCCCGAAGACCGACAACATGGTACAGAGTCATGGTGGTCAGTGCATCATCGTCATACTCGCGCTACGACTTTTTTTACTTATTTGTGGACGTAATTGCGGTCAGATGCACCCAGGCCCGGCCGTAAATGCGATCAGATGCATTTAAGATAAGAGCTAGTGTGACTACACCCTACAGATCGACTCTCTAGGAGCTTCGTCAATTTTTTTTAGCCAATCATCGAGCTAGTTGATAAATACTGTCATTCGGTGACAAATGATTGGTGAAAAGTTGTTGACTATGCTGAAATTGCGATTTGCGGTGAACTTAGTGGGTTTTCTTGTCATTCTTTTGCCAGAATTGACCCTCTTCCGCCCACTGGCAGGAGGAGAGAGAAAAACAGGCCAGGCCAGGCCAGGCGGGAGTGCTGCGAGAGGAAACCAACACGACGTCCAGTGGTCACTCACCAATTTGAAAGCGGAAGATGACATGAAAACTCACTAAATTAGCCGCAAATTCAACTTAATAGGTGAGGCATATATGAGCCTCTGTGTACTCATCAGCAAGAGTAGCCAAGAAATTTGGGGAAGGGAGGGGGGGGGGGAGAAGGACGAGGAGGATAGTAACGAGATGCAGGAGCAAGCTATTGACAAGGCGGCAGAATGGAGAACGACCGGCTTGTCAATCAGTGACTATATCCACGATGTCCTTGAGGAGATCTGCACGGACGTCGTGAAAGGGAAAGGACTATCAATATAGGACGCGGAAGAAAGTGACAGAAAAAGGCAAGGGAAGGAGGAGGAGGAGGAGGAGGAGGAGGAGAGGGAGAAGGACGGACCGGAAAAGTGAAAAGGGGATAAAAGAGGGGAAAGAAGCAAGAAGGGATAAAAGAATCACCACCCATACCTCCAACCAACTACAGTAAAGTCCAACTCGCTGAATGGAACACACGCACGACATCTGCCAGCGGACACCCTGACCAAAAGACTAATAAATTGACTAGAGTGAAGGTCAAGCCCCTTGCTGAACACTTCACGGGAACTCAGCAAGGAACAATCCCTGATTCAATGTACATGGCCACATCAGCGATGTATCATACAAGCCCGGTAGACATCTCCACGCCACATAGCACAAGGGGCCCAGAACTCGGAGGAAGAAGAAGAAGAAGAAGAAGAAGAAGAAGAAGAAGAAGAAGAAGAAGAAAGAAGAGAAGAAGAGTGAAAAAAGTGGCCATAAGACTGCTTCTCATACACACAACGAGAAGAAGACTAATAAGCAGCAGTAGTAGTAGTAGTAGAAGAAGAAGAAGAAGAAGAAGAAGAAGAAGAAGGAGAAGCAGAAGCAGTAGAAGAAGAAGAAGAAGAAGAAGAAGAAGAAGAAGGAGAAGCAGAAGCAGTAGAAGAAGAAGAAGAAGAAACAGCGACGACGACGACGACGAAGAAGAAGAAGAAGAAGAAGAAGAAGAAGAAGAAGAAGAAACAGCGACGACGACGACGACGACGAAGAAGAAGAAGAAGANGACGACGACGAAGAAGAAGAAGAAGAAGAAGAAGAAGAAGAAGAAGAAGAAACAGCGACGACGACGACGACGACGAAGAAGAAGAAGAAGAAGAAGAAGAAGAAGAAGAAGAAGAAGAAGAAGAAGAAGAAGAAAAAGAAGAAGAAATAGCAGAGAAGCAGTAGAAGAAGAACAACAACAACAATAGACGAAGAAGAAGAAGAAGAAGAGAACTTCATGGCTGAAGAAAGATTAACACAGAAGAAGAAGAAGGAGAAGAAGGAGAGGTGACCATAGACTTCAGCATGGAGATACGCGAAGAGAACACCAAAAATGCACAGCCAAATAGAGTTAGTGAAAGATTTTTGCAAAGAATGCCAAAAAGTAAGACAACAAAGTAAGCGGTATTCAGATGAATTCAACCGGATCTGTGAGAAAACGGCGAAGAGGTGTCAGGAGGATGAGAGAGCCTCCCCCCAAAAACAAAACGCAGGCTACGCTGAAAAAGGCGGAAAGGTGAACAGTTCAGCAGCATTCGGCACGCATGGAAACAAACAGCAGAGAGATAAAAAGCAAAAAGCAGAATGAATATAGAACATAATTAGGAAACATGAGGAAGAGAGAACAACGGGAAGTTCAACGCTTTCCCGTTCAACGCTCTCCACGATGACAGGTCAAGCACACGTGACACGCCTAATCCGTAAAGAATCTAGCAGCAGGACTGTCCATTTCTCGATTTCTGCGTGTCATCCTTGCGCACGGGCCATTTGCTAGTCCACCCTTCTCTGTATCGTTCCAATTTTATCGGATGTCCCGAAGGACAGCCCCGGGACTGTCGATGTTCAACAGGCCGACGATACGATCCTGCAAAAGCCACTCACTGGCCCTGGCTCAACTGCCATCCAGTGGTATGTCCATATATAGATCTATTGACGTCCTGCTCATTACAATTGACCGGGCGGCGTTGAATTGTTGATTGGCCTTCAGCTGGGAAAAGTGCGCGAGGTCTCCTGTTCGGGCTGGCCGACTAGGCAGCCACTCCGGGGATTCCATACGCGCAGGCGGACGCTCCTAGGTAGTTTATAACCACTTTGTTGGTGGACCTAGTCTGCTGTGAACGAGTGAACCTGAACCTGGTTCAGCAATCATGACCTACTGTGCAGTTAGCTGGAATGTGATACTTAGGCCAGCATCCCGAAATTCCCGTGCCATAGAGGGACATCGTCCACAACACCGATCGATCCCGACTTGTTCTCTCTCTCTCTCTCTCTCTCTCTCTCTCTCTCTCTCTCTCTCTCTCTCTCTCTCTCTCACACACACACACACACACACACACACACACA